TAGAATTTTTCACTTAATCGTCGTGATGATGATGTACACATTTCAGTGCAGATATGGAACAATCGTATGCCGACAACATAGTATACAGTTATGCGTGAATATTTTAATACTAAATATGGTATTCGGTGTCTCGAAAATGTCAGTTAGAATTTCTCTCTCTTAAATACTCTTAAATGCTCATTTCGTTTCCATTATTTCGGAATATTATAACCGCCGCAGTTTAAAATCCATTACACGAAACGTTAACGTCTATCTATGTAAATTATTGACTTTAACTAGTATTCGAAAGACTCGTATGTTAAATTACATATAAGCGTGCGTATACCGAAAGAAGTGTAACTTGTGAGAAAACGACGGATTACGAATTCTGTTTACCTACTCCGATGGATACACATATTTTTAGAATATAATAAATAATATATATTCCCCCGCTTGTACGAACGCGTGGAAATGCATTTTCTCCCTTTTTCTTTTCTTGAAAACATTTAATAAATGTACACATTTTAATATCAAAACGACAAATGTTGAGCATCGTAAGTAAACACTTGTGCCCACTAACGTATATTTTATGAATTTGTATTCATATGTATGACTACACCTAATTCATATACCTGTGTATTTGTGATTTTCTCCTCGTTTAATCAGTGTTGCTTTTAAACATTTGAATTAGCCTTGGGATTTCATTTACAGAAACACACAGTTATTTCACTTCATTTAAAATAACTTCAGACTCGTTCTTAAGCGTTCTATAAAACTAATATAAATAATAAGTACTAATATAAATAGTATAAAAAAAATTCTATAAACTATCCTCGCATTTGACTATACCATTCGTTCAAGGTCTAGGATTTGGTCACGCTAGTAATTTTGAAAAAAAGTAATGGGTGAACAGTTTCCTGAGAACTCCGCTTTAGCGTGATAGATTGCAAGCAAGTAATACAATTTATCTTTATGATCCATACTCGATTTGTTACACATAAAATCATGAATGAAAGTATTTGTCGATAGGTGTTCATTGAGTTTATTTCGTATTGTGTGAATAAAATGATGACATCGGTATTCGACGCGTATTTCCTCCGAAATTATTTATATTATATAAAATACATATTAAAAGAAACCACTTAGGTATTTCGTTATATCATGTAAAAAATTCGAAAAAATTGCGGAATGATTACAAACCTGGAAGCTTTAAAATATTATCCTTAATAAATGTATTTCAAACCGAGTTGCAGTAAAGAAAAAAAAAGAACAATGTAATAATTTCTATTGAAAAAAAATATTAATTCGTATTATTATATTATGCGTCCGCTATCTATAATTGTATAAATTGATTTTTTTAATATACGCCAAAATAAGCATAGATACACATTCGTATGATTCGAATAGTTGGGTATTACTGAACTTAAAAACATTCGTTTGCGGTGCCAAGATTTTTTTTTTTACCATAACACATTCACGGGCTCCAAATACATATTTCATTGTTAAATATTATAATTTAACACCTACCGAATAAGCTAAATAACACATTTTACACTCGACCGTCGTTATTTTGTCGCTGAGCACATATAACAATACATTAACATATACATTTTTGATTCGGAAAAATATAGTTGCTAAGAAATGTGCTATTATAATACAACATATTATAATATTTCTTTTATAATATCGCGTAGAATGCGTAGGCATTAAAAATAAGACACTTAATTATATATTTTATTTTCAATATTCGAAACGAGCAAAAAGTATATAATAAACATCAACATTTCGCTTGTAATAGCGAAATACATGCGCCGAACTTATCGTGTTAAAAATTAAACAACATAATTTTAAATTTTCCCTGCTACAATATTAACCACATGTCTAAAATGAGTAAAATATTAATCATACATTTTCTTTTCATTTAATAATAGATTTTTGGTGCACGGCAAATAACATCAACTCATTCTTTTCGGATAAGGAAAATGAAAACCGATATAAATGTGTAGGGGTATTCCTAGACATTATTTTCTTAGATGACGTGTTTTAAACGTATTTATTTAACATGATAATTTTGGTAAAAATTAATTTAATAATACTAGATAGATCAACAATGGATTATATTAATATTCCTGGCAAATGTTTATCATATTAAATTTTAGTTGTACACAAATATTAAGCAATACTTTTTTTCTTATTCGTTAACATTTCGGGGAAGGGGGTCGGTTTGAAAACTTAAAACCCTTTCCAGACACGTCCCTGTAGACGAGTGATTTTTAATGTTTCATCCTCGAGATGATCAGTCGGACACGAGATGAACTTTGATCGCAGTAAACCGTTATTGATATATACCACGTGAACGCGGTGTGAAATTTTATCTGCAACTTGCGGCATCGCTTTATGCAAGAGATTCTCGCGCGCAGCGGACCCGAACACCGCGGGATACGTGTATGGTTCAAGTTTTCGTGCCCGACCGACGTACCGACGCGCATAGTGGGAGAAATGGGACTTTTTCACGGACAACATTTTTTATTTTTCTCAATAGTTTTATTACGTAAAATTAAACGAAATAAACAGTTTTACACATTACGCGTTTTTACTGTCTAAATAAACGATTTTTATTTATTTTACCATATTTGTGTAGTGCTCGCGGCGCGGAGGAAACCACGCGGACGGACGGCCGAGCTCCGACTTGCGGATTACCACAACGTTTCGAACAATTTTCGTCCGGGACGGCGTTTCGTGCACCTTTGTTCAGCGAAAACCTAAGGCCGTGGCTTGGACACTGAACATCGGGCTCTCGCGTGTTATACACCGCGCACGCGGTCTGCGGCAAGCCCGCAAGAGCCTAAACCGAAACACGGAGAAACGGTACGGAGAGTAATGTAATCTCCGTTACCACTTTAAATGCGACGAAAAATAAAAATAAATGCAACGATTATTAGGTACGTTGTCGCGGAAAATCCATACGCACGCGTACAACTTATATGTTAGATTATACTGCGGAAATCGCGAGAGCACGTTTACGTTGATAATCATAAAAATTATTTGAATCGAACCTCGCGTTGTAGCGCTGCCGATTCTACAGTCCAAGTGATATCAACTTTGATCCTTTATCGAAATCGGTGCACATGATATGGTGCTACGACTTCTTTCTGTGAGCTTAACGCTTCTCCGTTCGTGGCCGTTTCTTGGCTCTCCGTTCCAATAATCTCGTAATATGATACTACCATCTTAGCGCGAGTAACTTCAACCCCTCGACCATATCAAGAACCTAAACTGTCATATCACTGTTCAATGCCGTGATCCGATAATCAGGTGTATCTATACATTTAATTACTATATTTTATATGTTAACTAATAAACACCATTGTGTTTCTCATTTGATAATTAAATTATTTACGAGATTGAGTTTCGCGGCAGGATTACAAATATTAATTAGGAACCTTTAGAGTATCAAGTGCAGAAATGTCTAGTTACAGGCATCTATATTGTATATTATTCTATAGAGATAACTATTCGCACAAGATAAGAAACCATGATTTTCATAACACGTTTAATTTTGCTCTCGGCTACCTGCAGTTTACTGCAGTATATTGATCGCGATTACCAATTAAAAATACTATTCGTAGCAAGTCGTATTACGCGAAATAACAATGACCGTTTCATACGCGTTTATTCGGTTGTAATAGAGTCTTGACGATTCAGTTCGATATTCTTACCGATCGTCCACGTACACGCCAGTTATGTGCTCACGGAAAATGTCACCGGTTTTCCGACACTGACGCGGCGCGTCGGCGGCACAATCCGTGAGCTCCGATAGCGCCGTCGCCGGCCACCCTTCCCGGACGACCTTGAACCGGTTAACGGCGCTCCCCCCGGACGCGCGCACGCGCACACCCGTCACGGGGTGGAGAAGAGACATGGCCGCGACCGTCGGGGACTCGCCGTCATTCAACCGCGGTCCGCGTCGTCCACCGCACACGCTTCGCACGCTCAGCACCTGCAGCACACCCGCCGCTGACGTCGACACACAGCCGCCGAACGATCTTCAACGCTTCAGGTACGTACGAAAACATCGTCCTATTTGTTATAAGTTCGGAGCGAAGACAATCGAAAAGCGCCGACACCAGCGTCCTGTTTGTTCGATTTTACCCTCCGCCGATCCTGGGATCCCCCAACGTCCGAAGCAGGGACTTTTTTTTCGCCCTAGCTTTTCCCAATTTTTCGTTTTCGTCCGTTCTCGTTGCACGTGCGGAATACATGACAGGCACCACGCCGTGTACCCGTTTACATATTACCGTGTTCGACAACAGTTAATCACAGTCGATAATGTTTATTACTTTTATCGCAAGCGAAAACTGATCGCACGATTTCAAAAATTGGCCCTCCCGGGCTGTATAAGTTTGGAAAACGATTGTAAAAAGTAATCGTTTAAAAATGATGCGTCGGATACTGTTGACATTTTTCAGTAACTTCTATCCTCCGGTTGAGCATGCATTTTATTTTCCAATTCATTTTTACCTCTTTTACTGATCGGAGTGACTGATATCTTTGAAACGGTAACGCGCGACGACAGACTTCCATCGAATTTAGCGAAATCATCGCGGAGTACTGTATAAAATCCTGAGCAACACCGTGCCAACACGAGGACATTTTCGTTCAAGCCTTTGTCACCTAAATATACTCGCAATCGTGCTTTTCTCTGCCCCGCATGGTAAAGATATTAAAATAAATCATTTTTCATATAAACATATATATATGACGTGTCAACTTTCGTCTGTTATTACATTACTAATAATATTATTATTATTATTATTATTGTTTGTATTTGAATTATTGTAGTTTTATGACTACGTCGATATACTATTACATTAATAATGATGACGCGACGTTGACGAACGGCACGCGACGTGACTTCCAAAATTAATAAAAAAAAAAAAAAATTAAAACGTTAGCAACTGAGGATCGAAAAACGCGCGCGCGTGAGGCTATTGAGTTATTATATTAGTATATCATGGGCAGGACGCGGTCATCGTCGTCGTCTTCGCTTAGAAAACGTTTAAAAATCGATTTCTTCTTCTGAGTTCAATATTTTTTTTAACAACCTTTGCTTTATTTCGTCCGTTAGATGCGACAACCGTGCTAATACTATAACCGTAGCTCGTCGTAGTTTGTTTACCGTTCGAAATATTTTGTAACAGTTCAACAATAACAATCGATAAATTACAATAATCCAATACAAATACCAATATGTAAAGTACAATAATCATTATTTACGTGTTATGTACGCCATCACGTCGTCGTCGACGAGCAACCGCGCGGCTCATTCAAGGCTCCAGCGGCAGCTCGTCAAATAATTTTGTTTACTCCGGTCCGGAACGCCCGCGGTATGTGTATATATTATAATAATATAATTTAAATGTAGAAATACAATCATCGTCATAATATCGCGTATATGCGTGTTTAATCTTCTCGATATTGAATTCATTTCAGCAGTCTTGACGGTAGTGTTTTCGATCGCGATTATAATAATTAATATATTATAATAATCTCAGTTTTGTAAAACACATGTCTCGCCGTGACGATGACGCATTCTATGCGATCTCGCCGAAACGTAAGTAACACGTTTTTATTTTATGCTGTCAAGTAATTTTTTTTCCTTATAATTTAAATGGATACCGCATTTGATCCAGAGGAGTAGTAGAAATTTTTTTTTACCCCGCTATTTTTGTCAGTTGTCATCTTAATGTCTTTGCGATTTTTTTTCGGAACACTCATTTTGTCTCGAATAAGTTACGCATTTTTAACACCTTATCATGTTTTCTCGTTTTTTTACTGTGATGTTTTGCAGTTAAGCAATCGATGATACTGTTGGATAAACGTAAAAATTTAAAGGTATCGCGATCCTGAAAATCAACATTTTTTTCAATACTCGTTATTTGTCTACTCAGTGTCTTCGTATTTTATTCTTTAGTTTCTAAATAGTATTAAAACACATTAAGCTTTTTAACACCTCATTCTTTTTTTTTTTTTGTGGGATTATAACAAAAGGAAATTAACATAACAAGTAATTTATGATGAAAGTATTATAAATATAACATAATTATAAAAATCTACTTTTTAAACTTCTTTGCAATTTCTGTCATTTATTATTTTATACTGCTGTCTTTACAATTAAATTGTATTATATTATATTTTCCAAAAATTCTCTTTTAAAATGGAAGAAGGATTATCATTTATATAACTTTTGTAGCATATAGTTCATAAATAATTTAAAATTAACTTGAAAGTAATTTTACTTTTTATTACATTTTTAAATTGCAATATTATTATTGTATTAATTAAATTATTAGCCTCAGATTATTAATATGCTTTTTGATAACTCCATTAGTTTAGTATACTATCTGCTAATAAACTGGGATCTATCATAGAAGAGGATTTAAAATATAATTAAAATATATCATTTTCATGTTAGGGTATTTTCCTCAAACTTAACAGTTGAGTAGTCGTAGTAATTAACTTGGGCTCTTAAATTGTCAATTAAATACAAAGGTTTCGAATTAATAGAAATATTTTTTCTGGTGTCTCGCATGAGTAACTACCGTTTATATTAACATGATAATTATAAATATTAATCTAATATTAGGGAATATTTCTGATATTCATGTAATATATTTTAAATGATATTTAATTAGATTAAAATTCAATCGTTTTATTTCGATTTTTTTCTAATTTAAATTAAGAGCTTTGTTTGTTTGCGTGATGGAAATAACAATTTACGTTTATGGTTCAATAGAATAATAACTCGTTTGTAACCGATGACTAATACGATAACTCTTGGAAATAATTGAGTTTCGAATTATAGTATACTGACGTGTTTTCTACACAATATATAATCATAAGTCTTTAATTTTTTCATTTTCTTAACAGGTGATTTAGTTTTTTTTAAGTAAACAGTTCACGATAACATGTTACAGTTGATAACTTGAACTCTTATTAAAGAAAACAATTTCGAATTATTTTGTTTTATCATGAATTGGTTTTCGATGAAATCGAATTCGGTTATTCTTTTCAATATTGATAAAAAACAAGGCGAGTAATGCAGGAATTATACACCTGCATGGTGCATACAGTTTTGTTTATTTTTATTCTGACGCGCTAGCGGACCGGAAATTCGGACGCACGTATCGGTATTTTTATTTTTTCTCTCGTTGCTAGGTTTTGAAACGAAAATAATTGTTGTCGCGTCGCGTATCATCGTTAAAATAAAATAGTAAAGTAATCGAATGCATTAACGAAACGCGATAAATCGGTTGTAAGAACTCGATGCGATGATATTTCATAGGCGTGGAACCTCTTTTTAATTTCTATATTTTTAATTTTTTTTCTCCTTCCCCGCTACTGCGGTACAACAATAATCACCGTATGGCTTATACAAATACATTATTATAAGCACATCATATTATTCGATATATTGTTCTCGTATAACGTGTAATATTATGACACACTTAAAAGAGATCGTCGAACACACGTTCGGTATATATCATCGAGTTCCGATTGTTTTGCGCATATAGTAGTTATGTGCGCCCGTCCGACGAACGACGACGTACAGTATCCCGCCATTACCATTGTATTACCGCGTTGTTGGTTATTGCTTCGCCCCGTGGGCACGTAATCAACGGCACATCCGATCCAGTTACGAAGCAAGATACGCGATTTATTTTAATATATAATAGATACGTGGGGGCCCGCGATTTCTTTGTGCGATCGTGTATATACCGGGTGATCGGAATTTCTTCTGATGGCGATCTCTTCGGATCACATAGAATACAGAAAGGTTTACGAAGTTCAAGTTTTAAAATTAAAAGTTTGAAAGATTTAAAACCAATAACGAGTTATAACCTTTTACTTTCAAGGGCGTGTTAAAGTGGTAAAATGTTCGTTACATCAATAACGAGAACCGATACTTTTTTCGTGACCGATGTCACATGGAATCCTGATCACCCAGTACATGTAGATTCGGTCAACAAATCGCCGTGCGCTGTAATTAATGTGGACGAGTCCATGGCACAAGATAATTACGAAACTCGCCCCCGAGTCCCACGCGATGTAGTAAAGTTTTCGTATCATGCACAGGCAATGGCCAATAGGTTATGGGTTTAATAGGTAAGTACAGTGACGAAGGAAGATTCGCTAGCGCCACTGGCAAACTTACCAATTAAACATTTGATGTGATGATATTTTTGTTGAAACTTTAATTTACCAATTTTTTTAAGAATACAATTCATATTTACTTGTTATTATTACAGTGTGTACATTTTAAACTTTAAAAATTTGCATCCCTCGTTTTAAGACTGGTCAATTCATCGATAATTTAAGAATAATATAAGATTTCCCATAAAAATTTCATTCCGCTATTTTCATAATTTCATCATTCAATTCTTACATAGTGTGTAAAATTAAAAATAATTTACACATTTCAAAAAATTGAATGTAAAAATTTAATTTCCAAGGTTGAATAAAAATACGATTTTTGCACTATTTTGCGCCCCTTTGCAAATCGCGGCCCTGATGTGAGTATAGTTCACCGTACCCTCGCGACGCCACTGGATATGTTAATATACATGCCCAGACCTCCTTTCTTCTATTAATTTCCGTGTCCCGATCTATCCTGCAAAGCATCATGCACTTTTCCTTATTCCTACTCACACCACCACTTTTGGTCACAACCATCCGTTACACCGTATCTACCGTAATGCCAATAACGCCATTCAGTTCACATAACTTTTAAGTAACTTTTTAGTGATCATAATATTTGCTTTCTGCTCTGTTATCAATATTTTATTATCTTTTTTCTTTTTGTTATCAATGTATCTAATTTTATGTACGTTTCACGTAGTGTTCCCCCGTAAATCGCCGTTTGGCGTAAATAGAAATAAACAACCTGTATAATATTTGCCGGTGTATAATTGTATACACCGCATAAGTCTCAGCTTTGTCGCGCACTTGACCTCTCGTAGCCATCGACCAGTTATTTGTCTGTTTACGGGCCGTAATTAATGTAAACGTCTCCGCACAGCATTCGTTACATGTTATGTGCGTGTCTGAAAAATGTCATATCGTATACACACATCGTCTGCGTGTGTACATGTAAGTAGATGATGGGATTGAGCGTTGACAGACTACCACTGCTACACAACTAAATGAGGTATTTGCTGAAGACGACGGTTGAAATGAACTGAAAAAAATATACAAATAAAAACGATCAACGATAAATATATTTTATGTAATGACGGTATATATATACACTATTTATAGTCACGACCTTGAGAACAGACTACAAGCAGCTCCGGTGTACAACAAAAAAAAAAAAAAAATCGTATATATCGCCATCAAAACGTCGTCGAGAGTAAAATCGGTCGCCACCGTGCGTCGTATTATTTTAAAGTTTGTTGTAATAATGACCGAAAAAAAACTACTCATCTTTATTATTGCGACAAGTCGAATTATTAATGGAACGAGATGATCGTGCTAACGGTCGAGTCGTTTATTTGGGGTGAAAAAAATTTGATTGCTCAATATTTCGGACTGGTATAGTAGCATATGTGTATTATGCGAATATCTCGCATCGCACGAGCGCGTTGTAAAACGTAACATTGCGTAGGTACTAACTCTAATGGAACCCGATTTGTGACACGAGAGGAGTTCGTGAGGGTCGTGAAACCACTTTTTCTACAGAAGAATCGAATAATCCTTAATTCTGTGGGTCAACGTATTTACGTATGCTCAGCACGAATATTTAAACAATAAGACCGTCACTAATGTGTTATTGCTGTTTTTTGTCTATAAAAAAAAGATATTTTTTTAATTTTTTTTTTTTTTTTTTTTGGTACACAGTATCACACTATATACACACGTACGTAAATAATATACGTGTACGATCATTAATTTTTTTCTTCTCGATATCGGGTTTTCCCAAACGCATGTCAAAAAATATTATTATTATTATTATTATACTTTGTTTGTGTTACGGTAAAAATCTGAAAAGTGACGCGCAAAGTGATGCGTTGTGTTCGTAAAGATGCACATATTATTATATTATAACGAGTACGTGCTGCAGCGACGATTATTTGAAATATTTCCAGCCATGAGGATTATCGGTGTTTTGTTTACCGTTATCCTTTTGTTTATTCCATCACGAGGTTTGTCGCGCATAGACGACGATGACGAACCGTTCGATCAACATTATTATCATCAACACAACAGAGATTTGAATTTCTTGACGACCAGAGCAGCTGTTGAACGCGTACCTCTTCAATTCGAAAGGTAATACAATAAAAATAACAATAGTGTAATATGTATATTCTATTGTTAAATGTGTTTATTTATTAATTTTTTTTATATAATACGCGTTTTTATTTCTTCGTAACTGGCGTGTGTCGTGAACGTCACTCGCGTGTTCAACGAACCTAATACAAATTCGACTTGATCGCTTGCGTAGAAAAAATAATGAATATTCAATTTAACTATAGATATAAGTATATCTGCTAATTTAAATATGCATAATGTAGTAAATAATCAATTTAACACTTGAATACTCCATGACTAAAATATTTAAACGTTCTTGAGCAGTCGTCGATGAAGTTTTAATAAAATATCACACATGTTTCCAGGTATCAAATTCACATTCCTGTTCGTGATGCTGTTGAAAAACTTCCTTCGAAAAAAGATCCATCACCAGCAAAATATAGACTTGAGTCTGAAAGTAATGATTAAAATATTCCCAAGTGTGATTTGTACTCCGTGACTTTATCGTAATATGCTCCGTATATATTTCCAGGTGCTAACGTTTTCTGCCATATCGACTCCACACAGTACCATAAAAATAAAATTCCTCAAACACTGGAACAGATCGTATTGTCTTCTTGTACCCATGTACTTTTTAACTCTGCGGATACGAATTTCGATATTATTGCTAACAACTGGTATTCTAGTCAAACTAATGGTATATAATCCGATATACATATAGTATTCACGGAGTAGTGTGTTAACGAGTTCGTAATCGTTTTATTTTCCAGGCACGTTCGCTTCGGTTGGCCGTTTGAAGAAAAAGAACCCTTCGATAAAAGTACTGTTGTTAGTGAACGAAATTTTCCCCGAAAGCTTGTCGTTCTCGAGAAGAGACTTCATAATTTCTGCTTCGAACGTGTTGAAAACTAACGGTTTCGACGGATTAGTTTTGTCCGATGTTACACCATCGAATTATAGTAAAATTCTATTATTTTCATGAACATATAGGTAGTATATGATTTCACGGTTGTTGTTATTCCAGACGAGTTCGGCGATGACGATAACACTAAAGAGGAGTTCCCATTGTTAATCGAAGAGTTAGCCAGCGTACTGAAGACGAGGGGATGGTCGTTGTCGTTAATCGTGCCGCCTTTCGATCAAACGTCTCGAAAGTACGATACCAAGAGGATCGTCATGAACTTAGATTTTATTATTCTTAAGAGCTTTGATTTCCGTCAAGACAACGACCAAATAATTAGTCATCACTCTCCGCTTTACAGTGCTGTAGATAGGGACCCGTCGTCCAAGTATCGCAACGTGGTAATTATAATACATTTATATTGAGAATATTTTTAAAACCGATTTATACCTTCATGATGCAATACAATGTTCTCAATCTCAAGGATCATATGGTAAAACTCTGGTTGCACAAGGGTGCTGATCCTAGTCAGATAATACTCGGTGTGGCTTTGTTCGGAAGAAGTTTCAAGTTGGCTGACCCAAAAGAGTTCCAACCTGGTTCACGAGTGCTCGGCAACGGATACGCTGGCAGATGGACGAAAACTTCCGGGTTTCTTTCGTACTACGAAGTATGCGATCGCACTAAACAGGACGACTGGAAACAGTATTCGGACAAATCTGGTTCACCGTTCGCCGTTAGGAAAGATCAATGGATCAGTTATGAAAACCACAACAGTTTAACGAGAAAAGTAAATATAATTTAAGCACTTCAGATTACATTCAAATGTATATAATTATAATTGTGATTTAGCTTGTGTATATGGAAAAAATGGCGTTGGGTGGAATAATGTTATGGTCATTGGATTCGGACGATTTTAATGGACTTTGTGGTACACCTTGGCCACTGGTAACTGCAGTGAAAACATACGTCAGTGCCGGTAAGGTTTAAATCACTAACACATTAGCGTGTACCGCAAGTACACAACAATATTAACCTACTTAAATCAAAATCAAAGAATTCACTTAAAATTTTGTTTAATTTGTTATTTATTTTTTATTTCATTTTCAAAGCAAACAGAAAGAATTCTGCGTCAAACGATGTACGTGAAGTTCCATCAAAATATGGTACTTATATTTGTGTTTTAACTGTTCGATCGGTACTAAAATGCGTTTTATTGAATAATTAATTGTCTAATAGATCTAAACAAGAAAGTCGTATGCTATTTCGCCAGTTGGTCGTGGTATCGGTACGACCAAGGCAAATTCGCGCCGGAGTATATCGATAGAAATCTGTGCACACATGTGGTCTATGCATTTGCTTCATTGGACCCCAACGATCTGACATTGACGTCGGGAAATGAATGGGAAGACTTTGAGAACAGTAATAATAATAATAATTAATGAGTATATTATAATAATATAAAAATACTAACTAAAACATTGTAAATAAAACGTTTAAAATCTATACAGAATTTTACGAAAGATTGGTGTCAAATTCGAAATCCGGGGACATAAAAGTTATGATTTCAATGGGCGGGTGGACGGACTCGGCCGGCGACAAGTATTCCAAACTAATCAGCAGTGGTGTTTCGAGGAGAAAGTAAGTGTTGGTGCAACGTGATACGCGGAATCGAAATAATATTCGACTTTTATTGCAGTTTCGTCAGCTCTGCCGTAGGGTTTTTGAGAAAATACAACTTTAACGGGCTGCACCTGGACTGGAATTACCCGGTATGCTGGCAAGCCGATTGCTCCCAAGGACCGTCTTCGGACAAAGCAAACTTCGTTAAGCTAATACAAGTACGGCCATTGCGGTTCATGTAGCGCGCGACATTTGTGCGTACTCGACCGAGTTCTGAATGTTATAATTTTAGGAGCTGAAATCCGAGTTCAACAAACAAGAGCCGCCGTTCGAGTTGTCGGCCGCAATATCGGGTTACGAAGAGATCATCAAAGAAGCTTACGACTTCCCCAGTCTAAGCGAGCACTTGGACTTCATGTCGGTGATGACGTACGATTACCACGGATCTTGGGAGAACGTCACAGGACACGTGAGTCCGGCGTACTACAAGGAAGGCGACGAATTTCCCACGTACAACATGGTATGCGACGACGGACCACGAATGGAAAACACACGTGAAGCGTGGTCGACGGTGTACGATAACGGTTATTGCGTAATGTTCGAATGCTTGTTTTCCAGGACTCGACCGTAAGGTTAATACAGAAGTTGGGCGCGGATCCATCGAAAATCGTATTGGGTCTACCGTTCTACGGTCAGACGTTCACGTTGTCGTCGAACTCGGAACACGGACTCGGCGATCCGGTCAAGGGATCGGGATATCCCGGCGAGTACACGCAACAGCCCGGCATGTTGGCGTACTACGAGATTTGTAACAGAGGTGCGACAATACACAATGACGTTGTAAAACGCGCGATGATTTCTACTAACACATATTTGTATTACATAGTTTTGAACGAGAACTGGCAAGTGTCAAGGGACAAAAAGAGCGGCTTCGATCCGTACGCTTATAATGGAAACCAGTGGGTGGGTTACGACGACGAGATATCGATTAAATTGAAGGTATATCATACGGCATTATTCCCGTGTACGAGCGTAAATGTTCGACCGAAACGATCTAAAACCAGAATTTGAATTTTTTTTTATGTTTTCGTTGCAGTCCGAGTACATAGTGAAGCAAGAACTCGGTGGAGCGATGGTTTGGACGATCGATTTGGATGACTTTAACAATATGTGTTGCAAAGGATCATATCCGCTGTTGACCAAAGTGAATGAAGTGTTCAAAAGGATTCCAATAAAATCATCGAATTCCGTGTGCAATAAACCGAATTATCCAACAACACCAGCTTTTCAGATACCGACCACTACCGAAGAAGGACAAGGTTCGTTTTAAAAATAGTTTTTTTTATACAATAATTATGTTGATAAAGAAAAAGAATGTTGATAAAGAACAAAAAAAAAAAAAATACACACAAAATAATCAATTGTTTTACTCGTATTATTTAATTAAAAATTTGAATAAAAGATTGAATATTGAATTAAAAAGAAACTATTTTTCAAACTTAAATCAATAATCTAACTATTTTTGTCACGTGAAACAAAACAAGAATTATGATTACTTTTTGAATAACACACGTTTACTTGAATTGTAGGTTCTTGGGAAGAACAATCTCCGTCTTCAACAGCACCAACAACAACGACATCAACTGCGAAACCTACTAGACCAACTACAGTAATCGTCACAAATCCTCAGACCAGACCTCCGACCACAACCGCGAGTACGACGACAACTAAAGCGCCTCCGAAGAAAACCACAACATCGACCACGACTACCACCGAATCAAATGCTGAGTTTGAAAATGAAAACGAACAACCGATGACGTCTCACAAGCCACCTGTGAACCGCCCTTGGTGGTCCGAGTACCATACCCAAAGGCCGGAACTACAACAATCATGTAAACCAGGGATGTTCCAAGCTTCCAAAGAGAATTGTCAAAACTACTACCAATGTAAAAATGGGCGGTACAGAAAGTATTCGTGTAAAAAAGGATCGTTGTGGAATAGAAACATCAACAAATGTGATATGTCAAGAAACGTCGACTGCAACGAGTCCAGTGAGTGTGATTGAAGTTGAGATAGTAATGCATTGTAGTATGTGTGAAGACTAAAAATTTGATTTTCATTTAGCTAACGCTGAAATTTCCGAAACAACTTCGACAACAACGAAAGCGCCTGCGACCACATCTAGGCCAACCACAGTCAGACCGGTCAACACGTGGCGACCAACGACGACAACGACGACGACGACGATCCGACCAATGACTACATCATGGCGGCCGACAACAACAGTAAGTCGTACGATAAAAGACCGATTCTTAAATTTCACTAGAAATAAATTATATTAAATATTATAACAACTAATAATCGTTGATCGTATTTTATTTGTTTTTTTTTTTTTTTTTTTTTTTTAAAGACATCGAAGTATAGAAAATGTATCGAAGGCGAACTAGTCGCAGCCATTGGCGACTGTACGTCTTACTTTATGTGTAGTCACGGTTATTTCGTAAGACAATTTTGTGCATCTGGATTGGCTTGGAATGATCAAAAGAAAATGTGTGACTGGAAGTACAACGTGTACTGCAACTATGGACGCTCGAATAGCATATTTACCTTTACTAGTTCGTAAACAAAATATGATTACCATGATAATATGTTTAGAATGTGAAGAATGTAACGTTTGACGAACTAATGCGAAATAATTTCGTATTATAGATCTAGCCATCAAATCTTCGATCGAATGTCAAGAGGGTGAATTTGCATCGCACTCGAGCGACTGCAATAAATATTTACAATGTTTGTGGGGAAAGTTTAAGGTTAACTCTTGTCCTGCCGGTCTTTATTGGAACAACGTAAGATTTAAACTAAATACAACATTATATTACATTATAGTGATTTTTTACCATATTACATTATATCGAATTTCTATAATAGAGGCTCAAGCTATGCGATTGGCCATTGAGTTCCGGATGTCGGCCATCTCAAGAAATCAACACTTATCCGACCGAAGAGCCAGGGTATCCGTCGTCACCCGAACAACCAACAAGTACCCAGCAGACCACTATGAGACCGACAACTTCGAAACCTACAACTTGGAGACCAACAGCCACCAAACCCACGACTCCGAAGCCTACCACCACAACTACTACTACTTCTACGGAATTCACCTCTGAAGAAAATTCGTGGACATGGAAACCTACGACTACGAAACCTACCACGGAAGATCCGTGGGCATGGAAACCTACTACTACGACGGCTGCAACTTTACCCACGACGCAATCAAATTATCATCTGACAGGTGACCATTAACTTTAACTTCAAATTCAACGACGTACTACAATAATATTCGTTATTTCTAGGACAATACAAAGTCGTGTGTTATTTCACCAACTGGGCATGGTACCGGCCATCGCCCGGTAAGTTTTTCCCAGAAGACACGGATCCGAATCTCTGTACTCACGTAGTGTACGGTTTCGCAACTCTGGATTACACAGATCTCGTAATAAGAGTGTTCGACTCGTGGGCAGACGTCGATAATGGTACGTGAGAGATTTAAAGCGAACCGGGGTTCAAGTAATAACATGTTTAACGATGAACCTTGTGCAGGTTTCTACGAACGAGTAGTAGCGCTCAAGCGACGTGGTGTTAAGGTATCCATTGGACTAGGGGGTTGGAACGATTCGGCAGGTGATAAATATAGTCGTTTAGTCAACAATCGTTCAAGCCGCAAGAAGTTTATCTATAACGTACTCAATTTCATGGACAAATACGGTTTCGAGGGTCTCGATCTCGACTGGGAATACCCGAAATGTTGGCAGGTACAGAATACTAGTTTCATTGAGACAATAATTGCTTACAAGAATGTACTCGTATTATAACTAATCGACGTTATGTTTAGACCAACTGTAACCAAGGACCGGACTCCGACAAAAACGCTTTCTCCAATTTTGTAATGGAGTTAAAACAAGCGTTTAAGCCCCATGGGTACTTATTATCTGCAGCGGTTTCTCCCAGTAAAGTCGTTATCGATTCGGGTGAGTACAATTTAATTTTTTCAACATTTTTTCAATCCGTTTCATTTCGCATCACAATTATTATTATTTCAGGTTACGACGTACCAATACTAAACCAATATTTAGATTGGATCGGTGTCATGGCTTACGATTACCACGGTCAATGGGACAAGAAAACCGGTCACGTTGCACCGTCTTATTATCATCCCGAGGACGATATCCCGTACTTCAATTTGGTAAGCGAAACAGTATTGCAGGCACGTCGCGTTTTTCGTGTTACGTAAATGTTATATACATTTTGAACCTACTCATATGATATAGCTATCATATATATATATTTATTTTTTTTAATTTAAAAGAACTCCACTGTCCACTATTGGATTGAGAAAGGGGCGAACAGTAGAAAAATCGTCCTCGGCGTGCCGTTGTACGGCCAGTCGTTTACGCTGTCCAATCCCAAGGTGCACGGTCTGAACGCACCGGCATCCGGTCCGGGAGAAGCTGGGAAATTCACCAGGTCGGCCGGATTTATCGCTTACTACGAGGTCGGTCACCTTTGAACGCTACGCAGTTTCCAGGGCATGGACTTAATTATTTATTATTTGATTATTTTTTGTGTGCGCACAGATCTGTCGTAAGCTTGCCACCGAACAATGGACCGTTGTTCAAGACCCGGGATACCGCATGGGCCCGTACGCGTACAGCGGTAACCAGTGGGTAGGATTCGACGACGTCGAAACGGTGAAACGAAAGGTCGGTAGTGAACATATAGTATTTGATCGATTCACGGTCATATGAGTACCATGTACATAAAAACGTGCGTTTCAGGCGGAGTACGTGAAGTCGATGAATTTAGGAGGCGCGATGGTGTGGGCTTTAGATTTGGATGATTTCCGGAATGTGTGCGGCCAAGGCAACTATCCGCTGCTCGGCGCTATCACGGAAACGTTGGGTCAGAAATATGGTAAGAGCTCGTGGAAACCGACGAGGTGGCACCATTTGGCACACCTATACCAAAATCAGATATTATTTTCGGACATTTTTACCACTTGTTTGTGCATAAATTATACGTACATACGCGCGCACGCTAACACACATTTTGCTTTTCACTTACATCACTTAAGCCAAAAGAGGAATTCCGTTTATCCTCTATAGAGCTCATTGACTATCATCAGCAATGGCACCCGCTAACCCGCTGGTAAAAAGCATTTCACAAACACTCCGAGTAGTTAAGATTAGAATATAAATTATGTACAGAGTAATTTTTTTGAAATTTTATGAACTAATAAATAATAATAAAATTGGTTAAAAAACCGCATTATTATGGACCCCGAACATTTATGATACCCTTCACCCGGAACGTAAAGCTTAAAATAAACATTGATAGACGGCTGTGATTTTGCGTCCCGAAACGTTAATTAACGTTGTTATAATATGATATTTTGAACGAAACAATAACTATTGACCGTTTGATTGTCATCGATATGTGTTAGCTGTATAACTTTGTGCTCATTTGCAGGTGATCTCAACACAACACCTATGGCACCGATCACCAATAAACCGACGACGACGACGAAACCTTCGACGACTGAAATATCGTCGACCACGTTAATACCGACGAGACCGACAAAACCCTTGTACACGAAACCGACAACGACGACTACCATCACTACTACAAGCACTACGTCAACCACCACCACTCCAAGACCTCAGAACACGGAGTACTTTAAAGTCGTTTGTTACTTCACCAACTGGGCGTGGTACAGGTTCGTAATAATAATATAAGAAAACGCTATATCGTTTCGATATCAAAATATGTCCGCATGCGAATTAAGACGGTCAGTCCCGTCAGCTCACCAGCACTCCCAACACTTCTTCGACGGTAACATTTTTAATATTACAAAATTCAAGTACCAAACTATGTAACAAATCGGTAACTAAATTTTTATATATAATATATAAATGTCGATATTTCAATTTCGAGATTCTGGGCTGACGGAGATTAAGGTATAATCACAGCGCCGTACAATGGTTCATGCGTTCGGGATGATATTGGTTCATTTACACTTGTCGATTGCTTTTTTTTATTTTATTTTGTTTTTGCAGACATAGCGGCGGAAAATACTTACCTGGCGATATCGATCCGTCGTTGTGTACTCATATCATTTATGGGTTCGCGGTGCTGGACAACGACGAACTGATCATCAGGGCGCATGACACGTGGGCGGATTTCGACAACTGTACGTTTCATGCCCACGGCGATGGTGTTTAGTTCGCAACAGTATGTTACTTTAAAATTTTATGTTTTCGTTGTTGTTCACTTAGTTTTCTACCGGAAAGTCACCGAGCTCAAAAGATTTGGCGTCAAGGTACTGTTGGCTATCGGAGGATGGAATGATTCGGCCGGCAGCAAGTACAGCGAGCTGGTCAACGACCCGTCGGCCAGGAGCAAGTTCGTGGACCACGTGATCGGTTATCTGAAACAAAACGATTTCGACGGACTCGATTTCGACTGGGAGTATCCGAAGTGCTGGCAGGTACGACACGTGAAGTATATTTTTATAATTTACCGTCGTTTTCAGTACGGTGTTAAATGGAGGAGGGGGACGAAACAAAAGCACTCGGTTCTTTTACCACTCATAAAGCATACCAAAGCGTCTCTTTTAGTGTTTCTTCGAAAATTTCAGTGGAACGCTCAACCGTTTAGTCAAAATAAAAACATAATTTAAATTGGCCAAAAGTCTTATTAAATAATTAACCTTAATATTTGAATTTTAAAAGTTGAAGTGATGTCACTGGATATTCCATTCTATCAAGCATAATTTAATCATTGTATTAATATTATATATAGATTGTAAATACTTTTAGTAAAAATTAATAAAAAAAATTATCGACTATTACTTATCGGCGGTCGACCATAATCGATATTTCTAGGAAACAATATTGTACAAACAATAACTCATATTAAATATTAATTATACGTTATAAATTACATACAATTAATCAGTAGTGGTATGGAATACTACATAAGGCTCTCGGAACGGTATATAGATCATGGTGTCCCTTGTTTTTTCTCTCACTTTAAACCCTAACATTAGGACATTCTACCGTCGATTTACCGTAACGATCATTTACGGTTTTATTTTGGACCAGGTGGACTGCAAACGAGGCCCGAAGAGCGACAAAAGAGGGTTCTCGGATTTGTTGTTGGAACTTCGAGAAGCGTTCGACAAAGAAGGCTTCCTTCTGTCGGCGGCCGTGTCACCCAACAAAGTTGTTATTGACGCAGGTGCGCAAACGATAATAATTATTAAAAATTCTTGCTACAACAATCAACGTACGATAACGGTTCGATTCGTTTTGTTCTCCGAGATTAGGTTACAACGTGCCGCTGCTGTCCAAGACATTGGATTGGATATCCGTAATGGCGTACGACTACCACGGACAATGGGACAAAAGAACTGGACACGTAGCACCCATGTACTCTCATCCTGACGATTACGACATGACTTACAACGCGGTAATCAATCGTTTAATTATTTTTATTATTGTTATTATCACGTATCATTGTTAGTATTATTATTATTATCATTATCATTTCTATAATCGTTATTGATTTATATTGTTTCACGTGTGACTACGCTCTCTTCGATTGTTGATGAAATAAATCGAAATGGCTTTTTTAGAATTTCACGTTATACTACTGGGTGAGCCAAGGTGCAGACCCTCGAAAGCTCATAATGGGCATGCCCATGTACGGCCAATCGTTCTCTTTGGCTTCCAGTCAGAACAACGATCTGAACGCACCGACTTACGGAGGCGGAGAAGCGGGAGACGCGACCCGGTCCAGAGGGTTCTTATCCTACTACGAAGTACGAAAAAATGAATAAGTTATAATGTTCGCCGAAATCCAACTCCATTTATTAAATAAATTACGTATACGATATTCTCAGATCTGTCACAAAGTATTAACGCAGAACTGGCAACTGGTCCAGGACCCGCTGGGCAGGATGGGCCCATATGCTTACAAGGGTAACCAATGGGTGTCCTTCGACGACCAGGACATGATAAGATTCAAATCGGAATTTGTCGTGCGGAATGATCTCGGTGGTGCAATGATATGGGCACTGGACTTGGACGATTTCAAGTGAGTATAACGAATGCGAAGGCTAAGCTTCTGTAGACCACCAACGTTTTTCGCGGACCTCAAGCTACTGTAGATACATGTTTATAAGTCATAAACATAATATTATAAATTATAACAGCCACTTATTGTACTGAGTATACCGACAGTTATACGACAGATGATGATTATCATAATGTGCGTTCGGTATTGACTGCGGTTTGGTGTTTGTGTTGTACAGAAACGTGTGCGGATGCGAAACGTATCCGTTGCTCAAAACCATCAATCGGGTGCTGGGTCGACTGCCAGGTCCGGGACCGGACTGTTACCTGGACCAGGAGCGGAACGATCTGGACGGGGTGGTGATCGACAGCGGCGACGTAGGGTACGCGGAGGAAGGGGGCCGGGGCGACGACCGGTGCGTCGAACCGTTGTTGAAGGGTCACGCGAAGGATTGCCACAAGTACGTGATATGCGAGTTCGGCGTGTTGCGCGAACAGTCTTGCCCGTCTATGCTGCACTTCAACAAGGTAATTATCGCGGGGGAAATGGCACCATCCTCGTAGCACGAGGATGAGTTTAGGATACATAGGACATATAGGACATTTATACATTCCTCCGGCAAGCAAAAAGGGAAACAAGGAACCGGGGCACCGTGTTCGTGTACGTACATACCTACCGACGTTATTTTTTGCAGGTGAACATGTTGTGCGATTGGCCAGAAAACGTTAACTGCACCGCGAACCGCCGATCGTCGTCTCGCAGCCGACTTCTGTTACATTGACTTCGCCCAGAACGACCCACACGCAGCACCATGCCGACCCGGTAGTCAAAATCTTCAACCCGCGTTAACGTCATGTCCACCTATCTCAACCCCCCCCACCCTATCACCACCAATATCATCCGTGTATCGTATTTCCACTCCGCCGTCCACTTCAGCTCTGATCGTTTCGTCGGATCCAAATGATCCTGAAGGTTATCACGCGCCACACGGTGTCGGCTGATACGGTTCCGTCGGTCTTTTCGCCAACATTTCCGACCGAAGGCTAACCGTTGTAAATATTTCGAATTATTAATATTATTTATATATATTATTGCCGTTGAAAGGTATACGATTATAATCAAAATCAATAATTATTATCCGTAGTTAGGTTATGTTGCGCGAAATCGCTCTAACGAAACCCCTACCTAACCTTTACACGTATCGTGATGTTATATCAAAATAATTATTATTATTATGTATTTTCGTTTTATTTAGACCTCGATCGGTCCGCAACGATTAAACGCATCGCATGTACTGTGTTCTAATATACTATTTTTATTCCTTAATACGTATAGTGATATTATATTATAATTAATATTATTTTTTGTATGTAATACTGTAATATACTACTATTTAAACTGCAAACATTTGTTGCACACCGAGTTTTCGTAAAAACTACAACCTAAGAACAAGCGTTCAAAAATGTTATTCCAAACGAATTTTTCCTTCTTTAACTGTAAAAAATCGTCCAGTTTAATAATTTTTTACTTTAATTTTTTTCCGTTGACATCCCAATCGATAGATGGACAGTCGGTGGGTGTTTTTGAAATCTTCCGTTGTAAATAGATGTCCGTTATTGATAGGGTATAAAGTACAAGCTTTTTTTTGTGGAAACATTATAGTTGAGCTATCTCTAATTGCTACGAATACACTTTTATGTCCACGCTCGATATGTTATATATAGGAATAACACATATTATGTGCTCATCATATAATTTACACAACTCGTAGACGCGCTGACGTGAAAAATGATTTTTTATTGGAATTCCAGTTACACTGGAAGTTACCTGCACTTTTTTGGTTATAGGCAAATTATTATACAAAACTGCTAACATAAATGCATTTTCAGCCGTGTACAGATTATTTCAACCAAATAACATAATCTAACAAAGCGACACGTTGAAAAATCTTCTAGTAAATTATAATTCTCGATCATTTTCCACAAAAAAATAAATATAATAATAGTACTTGTTAGAAAAAAAAAAAAAATTAAAATAAAACCTCCGAAATTATGCTGAAAAAAAATTGCATTTTTTTTGTGTTTATTAAAATAGATTATTTTCTTGTTTCAATAATAAGCTTTTATTACCTTTATTACGTGTTCGTATGTAATAATTATAACATGATAACTCCGTCCGTTGTGCAATATTTCTCGAGATAGTTTCAAATAATTATAGGTGAATACTTTTCAGTATTGCGTTGTTAATATTAGCATTATTGTTACTAATATTAAACTATAACCAATTAGCAGAGTAAGCAATATTTTCATTAATATTTTATTTTGGTTAATATAAGTTATAATAGCTGTCAGGATACGAGATAAATACATTTTTTTTAAATTAATTAATTTTCTAATCAAATTTCATGGCAGCTTTTATAGTGAAAGATCAAGTGATTGATTGGTTAAAAATAAATAGCCTATTGCTTAGTTTTTAATTACCTAATAAAAACTACTGCAGCATGATAAACTAATATTATAATCACAACTAGAATAATATCTAACAGCTGCAGATGTATATTTAATGGTATCACAATATTGGGCCGACAACCATCGGGCAAACAGTAACTGGGGTCGATTATTCACGGGGCTCACAAAATATAATAAAATACAATTTTTAATATTTTTACAATTTCATGTTATTCATTATGTTTTTATATCTGTGCTTATTGACTTTGCTGTATAAGATGTATAATGTGTAAACTCAATCATTAAAAATCTTATTTCATAATTTATTAATTATTAATGCTGATAAAATATTTATTAAAAATTGAAGAAAATAATAATTGTAATAATTGTTATTTTAAATGTTAATCTGATTACTATATATACCTATATAGTAGTAGCATAAGGTATTGGGTTATAGATTCTATTATATGATATAGAACCGAGGAGAACCGTCAAAACAATGCTCTTCTAGATTAACGTATACATAGATAATATCAGAACGCAAATTAATCACGTTATTATCATTCATATCACCGAAGATTATTACATGCACGTTTAACCTACGTACATTAGCTTATCAGCTAAACGATGAAATAACGTTTTAATGTATTAAACCACGCCTAATAACGAATTGATTTTTATGTGCACATTTTAACTTTGACTAATTATTATTATTACTTGTATATTCGGAGAAAATCAATAGACTGTACAAGTAGACCTACGTGTTATGTAAGTTACCGTCGTTATTCCATCGTAATCAAAGTAATTTGCCATACATCTATTTTCACTCTTACAGGGATATTATTCACGTACCGTAAGTCACCGCAAGTTTTCCCGTGTTAGCTGTAATGTGAAAAAAATTGAAAATACAGTCAGTATTTATAACGGAATCGTTTGATTAATGTTTATAGTTATAAAAATAAAACTGTCTACGTTGCTTCGATTGTACGCGTTAATCACCATTTATGGTTATGTCAGTGATTTGATAATAAGATGTTGGACAGGCAATTCCAAGACAGCATACAGGATTTAACGAATATTGTGCAACAATCGACTGCTATATAGTAATACTATAGATATCGTACGCAGTGAATGGTTTAACGCGTCGCGTTTTGCATAGCCATGCCGTTGTAAATATTTAACGCGAGTGACTACGCGATACAAGAAATAATAACAGTGAGTTGAGCCAATCCTAATCCTCGTTTTTATGCCGTGCGGATCGCGGTGGTGACGACCGTGATGCAAGTTCATGGTTATCGCACGTTACAAATTGAGGTCGGATCAGGGACAAAAATTGTGCGCAGTACGACACACATTGTGTAATACGAAATGTTAAGTGTGTAGTACGAAATTAAAATGTGTGTTCTATTCTCTATAATATGGTATTTGTTTTTGGGTTTTAAATTTTTTAATTAAATTATCTTAAATATTTTTTAAAATTCCAAGATGTATCATCAGCAAAATCTAAAATACCAACCGTTTTAACTGTGTTATTCATTACTGTTAACGTTTGAAAGGGGAGTGCGACAAAATCCTTGAGTGTGCAGTACGAGAAATGATATATTTTAGCCTCTGGGTCGGATTGAACTCAAGAACGCGCAGTGTTCGGAGAGGAAGAACGTTTCGTTTTACTCTTTCGATAAATCGCGGACGGGAACGTCGTACCGTCGACGGTTATGTAAACCGTATCGAGACCGAAGCACGGTTTCCACTTTTCACAATTTATATCAGAGGCCATACGAATCCGGACGTTATTGTATACATTATCAGTAATGATATTCGGTATGAGAAATGGAGTCAAACGTAGCAGACGTGGTTTGCGGGCTTTTAGCTATTGAGCATAAGAAACAAATTTTGAATTCCAAAAATAAAAAAAGTCAAAAGAAACGTTTGATTCGAAAACTGATTGCTAAACGTAATGACGCGTGACGCGTCTAGTATGCTACTGCGAGAATCAAAAAAGATCAACATCGAACGAGTTATGAAAACTTTTTAAGAATGAGTGACGTACGTTTCAACAACCTTTCAGGTAAAGGGGAAAAACACATTCGAAAACAAACCACGGTTATACGTGAGTCGACGCCGGCTAAGACCAAATTAGAAATCGCACCGCATAGCCGAGTCGACGGTAACGCGATAACGCGCGGGTCGGAAGAATCCGTAGGCGCGGCGTCCGCGTTCTACGCGCCGGATCGACGGGCAGAGCGTTTCGGTCCGGTTGTGTTTTGCGTTTGCGTTTGCGGCAACCGACAAGAGGCGTGTTTAACGGGGGACAAATAGGACATTTGCCCCCGGCGGAAAAATTTGAAAATATTTCGTAGGCGGCATTCGCGAATACTAATTTGTCAAACATTTTTTTTTTTTTTTTTGGTTTTTCGTAATAAATCAATTTTTCCATCGGTTATTAAACGTATTAAAAAATTTAATGTTGAATGATCAAAGTATTATATGAAAAATATTTTTAACTATGATAAATCTTATTTACTTATACCTGTACGGCTGATACATATATCTTGTTCGAATGGTTACAATATTAACGCGCATCAATGTGTAAACACAGTCGGGACTCGACGGACGAGGATGTTGCTTGTACGACTGTACAGTTGCAGCAAGCACTAAATATAAATAATAATATGTATTAACTATAAATTGTTTGTAGTTCTCATTAAAGTCGTACATTCATATCTATGATGAGGCGGCATTACAACTTAACACGGCACTGGAAGCGAACGACCGTACACCGGCGATCGGTTCGCCGAGCGCCAACGGATTTCCCGATGGGCATCTCTGCCTTGCCCGTGTTAACGGATGGTTCAGGGAGATGCAAATGAAAATGAAAATTAATAAGCGTAGCGAGCGGCTTTCAGTACAGTTGAAGTCGCTGGTTTTCAGTTTTGCACTTCAAAGAGGAAGGGCGGGACAATTTTAAATACGACCCTGGTTAGCTGCCTACGATGGTCAAATTCAGGGACCGTCGAATTTCGATAATATTGCTTTATTAAATTACATCTTTCGTACAGAAAAAAATATATATATGTACAACTTCCTATTTTATATTAACGAAAAACGAAATAATGTTTTCTTAACTATTCAAACAATAGTTTTTTTATAACAGTGGTTCGTGAAGATTATCATCGCACGATTTCATTAAAATTTGATGGACCTCCATTGAATTTTTTCTTAGAAAGGTTAACAATTAAAAACGAGAAAAAAAATTGTCTAAACATTCAAATAAATTAAGGTACTTTATTATATTCAATAATTAAAATGACGCGAACCTTTGTTGCCTACAGCCGTATAATAGTTAAATCCACCTCTGATCGCACACGATTTCTCAGCGTCATCACATTTAGTGCTATGATAGAATGATGAAATTATCAATAGAGTCAAACGGCACAAAAAGCCCATAAATAAAAACGTTTTTTCGAACTGCGATCATCAGAACAGCAGTTTATAACACAAATGCGTGCGATAATAGTGATAATAGTTAATAATAATATTTTAACATTTTACGCGGTCGGCTGGATATAAAACCTATACGTCAATCGTTGAACTTTTGACTTTGCCTATAATCTTAAATCTCTTTTTAAAAAAAACGTTAGTACGTACTATGTTGTCATCGTTCGGATCGTACACTTAAGTGTAATATTCTACGAACAGTTTAATAATGAAGTTAAGTATGTGTTCGCAATGTTAAAGTTTTTCGACGATCAATTAACATTTTAAAGACATCAGACTCTGCCAAACAAAGTGTCCAGTCTGCAAAAATGTTCAACGAACATTTTTTCGATCACTCCGCAATCCTTGATAATAGGTATAAACCCCAAAATAATTACCAAACGATTTTAAAAGATATTCGTGACGTAGTGAAATGTGAGCTGCATTAAGTTCACAAAATCGATCAGTTATTCTATTAAATAAAGTAAAATCGATATTCTTGAAAGATTTGCTGTTGGCAATGTCATATCGGTTCGACATTTCCGTTATAATTTATGCATTCAAACATGTTTGTTTACAAAACCTTACCCATTCGTAAATCATACAAGTTATCGGCACTCGAGAGACACGATCCTCCGTTGAACGTATACGATCGCGATCGTCGTCTTCGGAATGTAGCTACCGCCGGAGTAGCCGTAGGCCTTCGACCTGTAGCCTTCCAAGTTTTTTAAGCGACTTAATGATAATTCATTGAGTCGTTACGGAGAAGTACAATATTTCAAAACATATAATAAATAAACAACACGATTATAATTTTGGGTTGATCTCTGGCACTTAAAAGCAACAATTATTAATCAATTAGCTACATTAGAATAAGATTTCGCAAGCAATATTTGACAAATTTATTAGTTACTGGATTCGAAAAAATATACAGATTTAAGATGCCATTCCGTGAGAAAAGAGACGAAAAAATCGAATTTAAGAATTTCGCGCATGAAAACTACAAAACAGTACAACTACGAGTCCAACACCAATACCAGTTAACCAACACTAAACAGCCCACCATGTTCACACTAATATATGCGTGTTCAACGAGGAAACATGCAAAGAATTTACATGTATATCTGATTCAGATATTCCAACGTTTTCGGGAATAAAAATACGTAGCGTCCGCTAACAGGATTTGTCTGGAATAGTGGGGGAAAAAAAACGTTTCAAAAACAAATAGGAAACGTAGGGTAACATTTTACTGTATTGCTCAATAAATCGTAAAACGTTAAATTGCTGAAATAAGATTTTAATTTTATAAATTAAAATTTCTAAAATGTCACATAATTCCGACCGGTAGAGGTGACCGTATTATGCGGCCAACGTAACGTTTCGTAAAACGAACGGTCGAACACGGCCCGGGGGAGTAAATAATACTCGTGAAATTGTCGCCGGTGGTCATTATCCGTTTTCTATGCATTCACGGACGCGCAGGTATACTGCTATGACCGCGAAGGCGTCGACTTCGCAACGTGTTGTTATAACGTTTTTTCCCGTTTTTTTTCCCCTTCCCGTCGTGCCCACTGGTCGCGTCTCGATCACCACTGCGGCTGTTACGTAACCACACGGTCGCAACGTGCGCGCCGGTGTTCCCCTTCCACGCGCTCCGGAGATGGACTAGTAACGCTCGTGCTCACCAATTCCAGTTTGGTGTTTTCGTCGGCCGGTCGTGGGTCGAGCGGAAAACTGTTGCGGTGCGCACACATCACTGTTGTACATCACACGTCACGAGGAATGCGGCGCGCACACGAAGGACCCGCCTGGACCGTTCGGTAAGGACATCGTTAAGGATCGACCGTGAAAAACGATCTGGAAACAGTCGGTGCAGTCTTCTCCAGTGGAAAACGAAACAACGTGCGTGACGCGTCGGTCGACGGAAAAAGGGTTTTGTTTTGCGGTTTTTTTAAAACAACCCTCGCGAGTGTCTACGCGTGATTCCTCCATTCCGACCGTGTGCAGCGTGTTCCTCTGCCATGAGCCTCAAAGACGAGCAGAAACCGTTGCTGCCGGTCAACAGCAATAGAAGCGACATCGATTCCAGGCCCGACAGAGACCGGTTTACCGATTATCAGAGTTTGGTGAGTACTGCACAACATGGTTTTATCGCGATTTTCATCCGATCCGAAGGTTTGAAATACGCGTGCAAGACGCCGGTTCCCAATCGCCGGCCGTCCTACCCCGTGTTCGCCGTACACGAGTATTTTATACAATCAAAATAGGAGACTGCGAGCGCGAAGGACGGTGTATAATATAGCGGCGAGTGTATAGAGTTTTTATAAAATGTCCAATCGTACATATTAATACGTAACGCTGGGATTATAATTGGTATTTTTGCTGGGAATACAAATTCTCGAAATCAGGCGTTCTTGTTTTAGCTTATTTGTTTATTTTCACTTTTTAACTATGGTGTAAACTCAAAAATTGGTGCAAAGGGTTTTTGGCTGATCATTTCGGCTTGGAATGCAATTGTTAAATCAACTATTTATGTACTCAATAGCCAATATGGTTTCTGATAAGGAAAAATGTTGATAATTATGAAGATTGCGAATAATTTCTTAACATTAGTTGTTGGACGTTTTACGGATGATGTTACTACTACTACTACTACTACTACTACTACTACTACTACTACTACTATTACTACTAATACTACAAATACATATAAAGTATAAAACGAGGAAAAAATAACCATGTGTCAAGCGAGTCCGTAGTCTTAACATATACGACCTTTCCCTCTGTCTCTCCCTATATATCGGCTCTTGATGTCTAAAACTTAATTAATTCGATTAATATTCACTGCCGTGTTCGAGATTACTCTTTTTTGGTGTGCACCAGTTTGTATATATATCCGCACTAATAATATTCTATTGGTCGGCTATAAGCACTTGTGTGGTGTGTAGTTACCCTACGTGTTTAGTACCACCTATTGTGATGGGCGAATACCCGGCAAACGTATTGCGAATAAATATCCAGGATATTTACCGAAAACGCATATTCGTTGTTATTTATGTTGAACGTTAGTATTTTAAACGATTATTTCGAATCAACGGTAAAAGCCCAGGTTAAATTAACCGATTATCGGAGGCTTACTTGGCGAATCCTCTCGGCCCGCAATCTTATGAAAAATGAATAGGTAATGATATATTTACCAATAATGCCGATCCCGTATGACAAATTAGTACAATGCACATTGCACTTTGTCTCGTGGTTATCAAATAAAAAAAACTATTGATTGTCTGCATTGCTGGTCAGCATTTTTAAATTACAAAAAGTAATACACGTTCGATACGGTCTTCACGTGTGTACGACCTCTGGAATATAAACACAACGCCCACACTAACATGTCTTTTTTTGATTAACATAATCATACGTCCGTACCTATACCCTAATAGTTGGTGTGCATGTGTAGGTATTTTTATTTTTAAAAATTTATAAAATAAAAGACCTAGATACTTGATGACGCCTGAAACATAGTATACTTTAATAATGGCACATGGTCATGTGATTTCTAAACAACGGTTAAATATAATCGTTACAGGAAAAGTATAAGGGTTATTAAAATACACTACACTACCATTTAATTTTTACGGCATGAAAAAGTATATGATAAGCGTTATAATTTTGGAAAAAAATTAATAAAAAATTAAAAAAAGGTCGGTTGCGAATCCACTGACTTAATAAGATTTTCAACCGAGTGATAAGTCTACAATAAAATTTTTTCTATCTATTTTCTATGTTCGTATAATTATAAGTAAAATCGTAGAACAAACTTAGAACCGAACAAAAGCGCAAAACGATGCTACGTCGTCTCCTATCATTTTTGGAACCTGTCCCCGTCCAACTCGAATTTATAACTAAAAGATATAAGCATTATAATATAGATGATGTTTTTCTTGTAAATTGATTACCTAAATAATATAATGATGGTTTTTACGTTTGGGAACGTCCGATTTCTAAAGAATATGTAAAATTAATATGTAAAATATAACTGCTTTACATGTTAAAGTCATTAACATCAGACTACTAATTGTATCCGAAAACATATAAACACTAATATTTGCTTGACTTAATTAACATTGATTCCGTTTTATCAATTTTTTATCGAAAAATCACTCATCACACGTAATTATATAATATAGATTTTATTAATATTTTAAAGTCTATATTCAAATAAATTATATGACCAGATTATGAATAATATAATGTATATCGTTCCCGTATGGTATTTTGTAACAATTCATACATAGCTGTTCAAGTTTTGGGAAAAAGGTTATCATGTTATCAAAATGTATTGCACTACATGGGAATCGATTAAAATCCAACGTCTGTGTGGAACTAATAGACTATAAATCTTGGTGAATGATTTAAGTGTTATATACCATCAGAATAAATCATTTGCATTTTCATTAAATTCGAACAAGCACGCACGGCGAATAATTGTTTTATGGTTCACGTGTTATATTGCTGTACAATTGATACCGGTAGAATATGAATTTCCGATCAAAACGTTGAAATTCGAAATCCGCGTGGCGTATAAAACAACGAATACTAGAAAATAACAATGTTGCGCCGTTCGTGACATGTAGTTTTTTAACGAAAATATACGTCCGCTTGTATTTAATAATATGCACACATCACTTTAATATGTTTTCAATATTATATGATTCGTCTACACTGCTATAATAGGTCAAACGATTTTTCGAATCTCATCATCTAATCGTTCTCAGTGCAATCAACATAATTTCCTTATCCGTTATGAACAATTGACACACTAAAATTATTACCAGTAATTTACGAGTATATTTGTTCCTATTATTGATAATTGCATACTATTCGACTTAATGACTGAGTTTTTTTTTTTTTTTTGTTTTCATTCACATGGTTAATTTTATGTAAGCACATGTCGTAGCTTATAACATTACCGAGTTAATTGTTCTGATATAGGCAGTATCTGACGTCTTACTGTACATGTGACGCACCGTCGATACTCTGCCCGTTATACTTATTCAATTTCACGTACGACAGCGTATTAAGAATTAACAAAGCCAAAAGTGAAACGTTACGAAAAATCAAAAAATGTACAACAAAATAAATATTTAATCATTCTTATGATTGATTAATATTGACGGCATGTTTTTAAATTGTTTTTTATCTATCGTTCTTATAATTTATACATTGTGATTATATTACATAAGAGCTGAGTATACTGTTTCAGATGTATTTAAGTATGCATAGTTATTTCTTTAGGATCAAAATAATTTGTGAGTATAAATATTATAATTAATAAAATTGTGATCATATTTCATAAATGTTAATATTCTACCGAGTATCTTGTGTGATTTGTGATTTGTGAATATGAATGTTAAACAAAGGTTAATCCATCTTGTCGACCTCCCGTAGTTGATTTTTTAAGTACGTTTAATTAGTTCTACCCTTCACATTTATCAGAATAAAGGATGACGTTGAAGTCGTTTGTTCCGGTGGTTATCAAATCCGCACACTTACCGTTTATGACCGCACATTTTACATCGTTCAATACCGCACATATTTATTCTATTGTTGAAAAGGGAAATTTGAAAGGTCGGTAGTTCAAAACCACACACATTTAGTTAACAGTTCCTTTCTCTCTGCACACTTTGCATGTACAGTTCACGTTGCCGGTTTTGTATGAGTCCCACACAAAATCTTTTTTTTATCCTGAGACCTACTTGAGGTGATGCCACATAGCATATCGGGGGATATTTTCGTTTTCAATTGTCCGAACGAGCGAGTGACCTCGCTCGGTCTTGAGGTGCACTCATGTTATTTAAGATAAATGTATACGTAATTTATATATATATATAAATTTGTACGGTATTGAACGATTTAATTTGGCGAAAATATGAGGGATTAAGATATAAAAGTGTGCGGTTATGAACGACGCCCGTTTTTTCTCTCCTCAGATCTGTTTTTAATGAATTTTAAAATACAATAAACAATCCCATTTGGTCCTATGTGTGCTTTTCAATATATAAAATAATGAAAATAAACCATATAACAATACGACGTGTTCTACTAAATGTCTAAAAACTGGGAAAGACGTCAACGTCAACGCGTAATATGAGCAACTCGCGTCACTTGACAAAAATCTTACGACATATTATAATTCAAAATCGAACAATGCACTAGAGTGAAAATAAATATTCAATCAGGTATTACTATGATCAAAAGTGAATGCTTTTATTAGAAATATTATTCGTCGTCAGTTGTTTTGGTTCACTAAAAATTACTGTACAACATTTGACGAACAAACTAGAGAAATAACTAGTTTTCAATTTTCGATCCATAAACGCATGTTTGCATGAAACTTTTCACCGTTCCGGAAAAATGTATAAAATATTACATCTAATCGATAACTTTTTAGTGGTCCGGTCTGTTTCGAATCAAAAATACTGCAGCAGTAGTCCGGTGAAATCAAACGAAATCTATATTTCTGGACTAACTTGCCGAAACGCATTAAGGGTCAATAGAGAGGGAAAATTGTTTATAATTCTAAAAAACATTTTATGAATTGGTTCTAAAAATATTTTATATCAGTAAATTGTTTCTGGTGATAGATAATTGTAGCTTAAGGTGATGAAATTGCAGTTTCGGACGCTCGTTTACTGCTGATACTATATTTTAATTTACCGTAAGTTCTTCTTATGTTACTGTTGTCGTTTTCTTTTTGTCTCGAATTATTTCATACGTATATAAATATTCTAAATTTTACCCGAAACTTTAACCCAAACATAATCCCGTAGGTTTAACCCTATATTCAAAGTCATCGACTGATGATTTCCATTGAAATTTATCTAATTTCCCGCGGTTCAAAACACACCAAAGTGTTTTAAAATCGTAAAACTATATACGATTACGTGACCATCGACATTGTTTGGCATTTAGTGACCCCTGATCCTATATTTTGTTTCAACTATATAGTTGTGCACCTATGGGTATCACTGCACGAAGTATTGGAATACGAATCGAACACGTAGCCGATCAAGAGCTTCGTGACGGATAATAATTACTTCAGTTTAAAGTTGGATGGAAATAAAACAAACACCGATACGTACTTGTGCACAACATCCGAACGGTACGCGGCACGTAATCTGACGTAAAGTAAATACGAAATAATCGATAACCGGTCAACGACGTCACGTCGATTTTAAATTTCTATAGTAAAATTTTCCGTATCAAAGTTGCTATCCATGTTTAAAATTATTGAAAATGTCAAAAACAACGTCAACACGCGCCACTGGCAGTGAGCCGAAATATTGTGCGTTTTTATATTACAATAATATAAATTAAAATGGTAACGGCTACTATTTTGGTCACGCGTTTAGTATGTCTGGTCTCGTACACTTATATGAGTAGCGCTTCTCTAGTGGCTTCATGTAAAGGAGCCTTGGGTGACCTAATCATAGCCAAGATTTTTCTTGAGTGACCAACATATGGAATTTATAATACAATTTTGAGCGATGGAACTATTTTTTTATTTAAATTTTAATTTCAAATTAATTATTAAGAAGAATAATAAGTCTTTCTCTTTTCAATATGATATCATAGTAACAAAAGCACCGAAGGTTTTAAAATTCTAAATTGTAATAAAAAAATTAATTAGATAATTTCCATTTTTATATTATAATAAACCTTATATATTATAATCTATATGAATAATGAACTAACGATTGTATGATAATATGATGAGTTCTAACAATCTGACCATGCTGTTCGAAAATCAAATTACGTCCGATAAGATAAATTGCCAGCTATTATGTTCGTATTACATTATATTCGTAGGACATGGCGTTATAGATAATCATGTAATAATAGCAAATATCATAATGGAATTTTATAATATGGTTTAACTTTTTTTCACTTAATTATTTGTGCCTTGAATATTTCAGCAATATAATGGAGTAAATATTTTGGGTGACCGGGCCACCCCATGCCACACCTTAGCTACGTGCCTACAGCCCTTCGCGTCGGACGTCCATATCGGTTTACACGCGGTGCACCTACACGCGGAGGGCTCGTACGACTTTCATATGGATTCCGCGATCTCTCGTGCAATAACTATAACGTTATCATCGTCGTCACACTCCACTACGTGTTATTCACGTTGTTCGTGTACTACTAAGTGTTCATTCGTTCGTACGATTTTGGGTTATTTTTTTCCAATTTACATAAACGTAAAAAATAATAATAGATGTGATAAATTTCCCGCAAACGCGTTTCGATGCATGTACAGAGACAGGGTTGGTGCGCATTTTTAATCACTCCTGTATGGTCTGAGGTCACGTCCGTAGCGAAAAGTAAAAAAGCCAAAAAGGTACACGTATCCTATGTACCAGTAAAATTGTTCGGAAGTATTTGCGAGGGCGTGTTTTCGAAACGAGACTGATGAATCCGTGGTACCCGGAAGGGTGATGGTTTCATTATGGGGAGGGACGGAGAAATAACCGCAGGGTACAGCTCCTTTTACGGACGGCCACGATCGCAATCGAAAGTTCTTTCGGCGATGGCTGACAGATCCGAGAGCTGAACATCGTCGAAACAACGAATTTGCATCCCTACCGATTGGCACACAGGCGTAATTTCCCGTTGGCGAGTGCCGTGTTAGGATATCACATTATTGCATGTTACAATGTACGGTGTTCAACGATTCATCAATACCAATACGTATAGGCATTCGATATCCATCGACTCGAACAGTTGACGGGCTTTCTAACGTTGTATTAAAAATCACCTTGCTTCGGTTTTTTCATACTGACAACTTGCAGCTACGATTCATACGTGTATCGAGTCTCGATCGAACTTCGTTTATATAACACGATAATATTATGTTCTCGCAATCGTATTCGGTCGCTCGTACAAGTATAGACAAAATTAATATCTTATGTTACTATTACGTTGGCTTCTCTATACGGATTCTTTTTGGAATTTCGCGCCGAGCGAGAGTAGATTAACAATCACAATGTAGCACAAAATATTGCTTGAGCAGTCGCTATTGTTACGACGAGTAGTTTTTTTTTTTTTTTTAATTTGAAAACGATTTTAATTCGTTTCGAGGATGTAGGTAAGGAGGTTTTTGAGGGTTCAAACTCCACACCCATTGCCAAAATCCCAGATAGTAAATAATTAGGTTATAATAAATAAATTTTACACACGTTTTTGATTCGTCCAAATTGGTAGATCGTGTACAGCTTTATTCTATCAATACTATAATCAATGTATTAGTAATACATCAATTATAATAATTATAAATATGTTTCGTTGCGTAATCATAATAGGTGTTATTTTATAATATATAAATAAATTTTATACAACATATTTGCGCTGTATAATTAATAATAATCACGAGTATAATTGTGTTGTAGTTTTTTACATTATGTTTGTTATAAAACAACAAATATATAATAAAACAACAACAAATACTGATGATGAAATAAATCGCTAAGTATAACATTTTTGTTTTTATTATAAACTTAATAAGTGCAAATCTAAAAGTTTTGTTAAAAGAAATGTTCTCTTATTCAAAGAATAATAATAAGACACATAAATACTTATTATGTAAACATAGATAATGTAATGTGAAATCAACCTAAGCAGTATTTATTTATTAATAATGGAATATTCCTTATCAAGTAAATAAAATAAACATCTAACGTTAACGATTAATTTCAGCGGTTTCTACTTATTTTATTAGTTATTTTAAATTAATTAAGCAAATTTTGTACAAATAATGAACTATTACGTATACTATACGTTATTACAGTTCAAACATTTTTTCGTATTGATGATTTAGTAGCTTAAATAGTAATTTGTTAACAATGGTTAACATTCATATTATTGAAATCAAAATGATATTCTATCTGGTGTAAAAAAAATTTTCTTTGAATACTTACAGATCATATTTATTGATTTTTGGTTTCAATAATGCATAAATATCGATGGACGGCGAAATAGTCTCATTCCATAACTTTAAAATTATGTGGTAGATTAATTTTTAGAAGTTAATAATAATATTTATAATGCAATTTTACTGGCCGCATATAGCGTGTAAGGTATATATCTATTTAAATTTAATTATTCACGTTCAACTATTATGAATACATAACAAGCCAAACATCTTGTTAACCTTCTACAGTACAATTGCCTAACAAAAATAGCGAGCTTAGAATCATTTATTTCTATATGCTTATACTTACAATAACTATTAACTTTTAAAGATAGAATACAAATTATAGTTAGAAAACGAAAATATGGTCTTAAACTGTTAGAGAAAGCAAGGTATAAGGTTGAAAAAATGTTCCAATTAACACGATGGAGTTTAATTTTTTTTTTTCGCGAAATAATTAAATAAATATTTAGAAAACGTGCACGAAACGTATTGTAACGGATAAATGGACTTTTCACCGATTAGCCAATCGCAACGGGAACTCGCTTGAATAGGTTGAGGCTTCACCGAAAACGCATGCGAACACGTAGTCACAGCGGTTCGAAGTCTAGTAGGGTAGTCGGAACGGCGCAGGGACGACGGAGGCGTTGAACACGGAATCGGTCACACGCAGCCACGTTTCATCGTTATTGTGATCAAGAGGATGCGCGTTCGCCGATTGCGTCTTCCCCCGAGTTCGCGTAACGCTAATTAGCATCGTTATTGTTTAATCGTTATTTGATATCATATGCGATACGATAAGCTTTCGACCTTTTTAACAATGCGGAACACTTCGTCCGCTGAGCAAAATATTTGCGGGTACACCGCTATCCCCGTGTAGCGTACGAAACGCACGGTATGTGCAACGTAAAATATCAAAGATTACCGCTCGCGATCCGTCAGAGAGATAATTATTTCGCAGGAGCGGCTCCAAGGGGGGGGGGCAATGGGTCCCCCAAGCCCGTACCGTACTTATAAAAAAATTTATATTGTTAACGAAAAATGCATATTATATGGACTATCATACGACACGCACAAGTATGTAGATAGAGCCATAGAGGTATGACGGTTGAAAGGAGTTTCTCCACACTTCGGAGACCAAAAACCTGGCTTCGTTCAAAGATGACTGAAGATAAACTATCAGCATTATGTCTAATTAATGTATATCATAAAGTAGATATTCTAGATCAAATAGATCATATTATTAATCTATTTTCCAATTTTAAAAATAAACGACTTGAATTTGTGTTGTAAAAATTATTGTTTTCTTTTTGTTATAAGATTTTGTTCAATTATAACTATTGATTGCGAAATCGTTCGGTGCGACGACGAAATACATGTTAGCAGAAACATTTGAAGGGATCTCCGAGATTGTTTCCGTTCTTTATAAATTTTCGGAAAACGCGGAAAATCGTTTTAAAAATATCGTATTAAAGTTAAAATGAATTTAGACACACAAGAAATATGCCACAGTATTTGATTTGATTTTCGTAATTTCTTTGAAACGAGAGTTAAATCAACCTAAATTTTATGAAATGTTATGGAGTTATTTTCTTTTTTAATTAGAATTTTGTATTCATAATTTGTTCATTAATTGTTTTAATACAATAAAAACCAAATTTTTTATTCTAATCTTAAGAAATTCGCTTTAGTTATTTAAGTACTTTTATTTTATGAACCATTTTTCAGACGAAAAAAAAACAATTTATTCCTAAAATATTTAACTATACATAAAACGTTTGAAGTTATCTCGTTTTTTGATAAGAACTTTGTACTTATTGTTTATTTATTCATTTTTTATTTACTATATTATTAATTCTAATGAAGTTCGTTTTATTAATTTAAATATAATTCATGAATCATTGTTCAAATAAAAAAAAAACCAAATACCTTCAATATGCGCAGTTAAATTAATAATAAAGGCTTTAAATAAACTTTATACGATTTAAATTAATAAGGTTAAACATAATTTATGAAATGTGTGGATCCAATATTTGCTTTTGACAACGTTTGTTGTGATTTTTTGTTTTCAGAAAAATTCCAACGGATCTGTTAAGAATAAAAAAGTTAATCAAAGCATTACGTACACATGGACCAACATCAATGTGCGCACGAAAAACGGCCAAAGCCGAGGTTTCTACGATACACTAACGTCGTTTTATCCAAGCAGCTTGCGAAACAAGTCGCAGAAAAAGGAATTGTTGAAAAACGGTAAGCACCATTTCCTGCGTTACTAGTCGATAATCCTTTCGGGCTCCATGTTAACGTGTGCGGATTTCAGTGAGCGGAATGGCGCGACCGGGTGAGCTGTTGGCGCTGATGGGATCAAGCGGCGCCGGCAAAACGACCCTAATGAACTCTCTGACTTTCCGGAGTGACCGGAACGTGACGGAGACCGGCGTGAAAGCCATCAACGGCGTGCCCATCAACGGCACGTCGCTCACGGCCGTATCCGCGTACGTCCAACAGCACGACCTTTTCATCGGCACGCTCACCGTCCGAGAACACTTGATCTTCCAGGTTAGTTATTCCGGCTCCGAAATCAATCCTTAAACACCCTCTACATTTATCTCATCGGTTCGGTCGTACAGCGCAACGGTACCGGAAGTATTGACATACCATTCACGTCGCACAGCACGCGTAATTATAGGCTTGCGCACGGGGGGTGTCCGAACGGTTCGGTTCAGTTTCAATTTTTACAATCTAAGTCTAAGAGTAAGGGGCCCGTATTTTAACCGATGTTGTTCATATTAAATGTAATATATTCTAAAATATTTATTTAATTATTTATATGCTACTTTTCCCCATTTGTTCCCCCGTGGAGTATACATATATATATATATATATGCTTCAATAGTCCTTCGTCTATTCGATATAATATTCAACCGCAGATGTGTGTTTATTGTTAATAACGAAATGTTGTTTTTCATGCACGATCTCGTTCGGTCGGAAAGTGAATAGGAAACTTGTTCCGACGGAATATTTCTAAACCAGGTTTTTGCGCAAAAAAACAACGATTTTCCTATTTATTTTTAATTTATTTCTCGATTAAAATATCATTCATGTAGAGACTGTGCGCGTGCATATCTAACACTTTTCTCTTATTTACGCGAGCTTTACATGTCGTTTGCTCCTCTCGCGGCTATTCTAATTATATTCGACAACATAATTTTTAAGTAAGCCTTATGACACGTTTTACTTCACAGGCCATGGTGCGAATGGACCGACACATACCGTACGACAAACGAATGGCTCGTGTAGAAGAAGTCATACAAGAAGTGAGCATACATATTATTATGAAACATGTTTATGGTGTTTTATTGTCATTGTATTTTCATAATTTAGCTGTCGCTGGTAAAATGCAAAAACACTATCATCGGAGTTTCCGGGAGGTTAAAAGGTTTATCCGGCGGTGAAATGAAACGTTTGTCGTTCGCTTCCGAGGTAAGTGCGGTCGACGGAAAACTATAAATATTATTGATTTCCTATTTACGTGAACCGCGATGGTAAATAGTTTACTATATAATGTATAAATATTTTTTTATAAAAAAGAATAAAAAACTGAAGACACGCGAAACATTATAGCGTACCTACACGATGTTTTCTCTTTGATCATCGTTATAATATAATAAGTTATATAAGTTATATTATAACTGTAGGTTAAGCCATATATTATAGTGTTTTGAAAATATTAAACAAAAATATTTTTTTAAATCGTGGTCCAACGCCCAAAATATCCGCTTTCCATATCTTTAATCGGTTTGATTTCACACGTGGCACAGGTTTTGACGGACCCTCCACTGATGTTCTGCGACGAGCCGACCTCGGGCTTGGACTCGTATATGGCTCAAAACGTGATCAGCGTGCTCAAGTCGATGGCGTCCAAGGGCAAGACGATCATCTGCACCATTCATCAGCCGTCGTCCGAGGTGTACTCCATGTTCGACAAGATTCTGTTGTTGGCTAACGCCCGTACGGCTTTCCTCGGCACGCCAAATGAAGCCATCGAATTTTTCAAATCGTAATAATTTTACCGCACAATTTAACCACTCCTTGTTATACGAATATAATACACACCCATCGTACGTCCCCTCTATGCTGATCTACACGAATTTCGATATTTTTACCTATATCGAGGTATATCCGCTTTTCTTCAGGGCAATAGGTTGGTAAGCGAATAGCTTCATTTTGTAGACGCTTTTATAATACTGTCACCCCCTGCTTTATTGCATCGTTTTTCTCACTCCGAAAACACTCGACCACCTCTATTCGGGTCCAGGTGTCGTCTATCAGTTTTGATCACTATCAATCCAGTCCCGACGAAACGAAAAACCTAGTAAACTCGATAATAAGAGCACCGCGACTGCATCCCATATGCCATATATCTAAAGTGTGTAAGACGATTAAACCACGTTCTATTTTTGCGAAGGCTCGGCGTCAGCTGTCCGAAGAACCACAACCCGGCGGACTTTTTTATCCAACTGTTAGCCATCGTACCATCACAAGAACTGTGCTCGTTCGAAACCATCGACACGGTGTGCGAGGCGTACGAAGAATCTCAGTACAAAAACGATATGATGCAACACCAAAAACAGATGATCATCGCCGGCAAGGTAAGTGCACGGCGTTACGCCGAAAATGAATACTCTGAACAAGCCCACGAAGATGGCTCAACGGTTTTAACCAAAATTTTTCCTACGTAACCAGTATTCTGCGAGTAGCTTACAAGAATTTTCAAGTGCAACTTTAAAATTTGCGTGCCACACCTTGTCCAACTTGTATAGGGTAACTGGAAAGATTGATCAATTTCAAGTATTCCACTCATTTGTAGTATTTCGAAACCCGTGGGCCAAAGGATTCAGTATAATTTGCAAAACCCCATAGACCCCCTCACGAACTTTTCAAAGTTCCGAAGTTGTCTCATCTAAATAGTCGTAGAACACCAGAATTTACGACAAAATTCAAACGACAAACTTGTTAAACGGTACTCTAACTGCTCGAAAGTGCGCGTTTAAAATTGGAAAGACGAATTACGATCGTGGATAGAGCGAAGGGAGCTGATGAGATTTGACAATGTATAAGTAGTGTACATCGTCGCGTAAAACGTTTGTGAAATAGCGGTTACTGAGTAGGCAGACTTGTTAAGTACGAGACGTATAGACGTTTGATTGCTGTTTCCGATTACTGATTGCATTTTTCCTCTCTTAGGACTCATTGGACTACTTGGGCTCGAACAACGTCTCGTCGCCGTATAAAGCGTCGTGGATCGAACAGTTCTACGCGGTTTTCTGGCGGTCGTGGCTCAGTATCAAAAAAGAACCGGCTCTCACCAAAATCAGACTAGTCCAAACGATTGTAAATATTACGGCTGAATCGCATCGGCTCCGATATCACAGGCGGCGTTTATAACCCGGGTTTCTCTTTCAGATGGTCGCGGCACTGATAAGCTTCATATTTTACAACCAGCATCTAGACCAGGACGGTGTGATGAACATTAACGGCGCGCTGTTCATGTGCATATCGAACATGACATTTCAGAACGTGCTGGCTGTTATAAACGTGAGTACACAATTTATGTATGCATGTATGTACGTCATAATATGATTACTTCTCCGTTCAAACTCCCTCCACATCTTCTAGATATGAAATATTGTATGTCAGAATAAACCTTGTAGTCGAAATTTCGATAACTGACAAAAAAATAGTAAAAATTAATTAAAAAAACACACCGTAATAAAATCATCAAATTTCTCGCTTCACGTGGACTCAAATACGATTACCAGAAATTGTTACATAACGTTTTAAAAAACGTAACAAAAGTAAAATGTATCAAATTACACATAATTTAAACTTTTGTAGTTACTTGATTGTTTCTTGACAATTTACCAACTTAACAAACAAGATAATTGATAAAAATTTGTTTTTTTTTCAACCGCTATGGTTTTTTATTTCTCGTGAAAATATCGTAAATAACGATTACAAAACCCAAAGCTTTTCTGTACCGATACTTTCTGTGGCTATTTTTAAGAATATCCACATTAATTTCTCGGGTACGACTGTGTTTATTCAATAAAATTATATGCATGACGCTTTCTGTTGATTTTGCAATTTTACTGAAAAGTATTTCGATTAAAAATTACGTAACAAATTAAGTTACAATGATTGGATGAAACGGGTTTTGTTTTCTCTTGGATCAAACGCATGAAATATATAAATATGTAATACAAATAAATAAATCCCGTTAATCACGTCCCGAAATTACCAAAACCCACTGAACGTTTGTGGTGTTTCCATCACAGGTGTTCTGTTCCGAGCTTCCGGTATTTATGCGGGAGCACCACAACGGCATGTACCGGACGGACGTGTACTTCCTGAGCAAGACGATCGCCGAGGTGCCGATATTCCTGGTCATACCGGTGCTGTTCACTACAATCATGTACTACATTGTGGGCCTGAACCCTAAGTTAACGCACTTCCTCATCGCCGTCCTATTCATAACGCTCGTCAGCCTGGTGGCCGTCTCGTTCGGTGAGTGCGCAACATTATAGATCTTATAGATCCACGCAATGGCAAAGCGCTAGGCGTATATGCGACCGACTGTGTGAGTACCGCGGAATCGTGTTTCGAAAATACCAATACGTAAACTGGTTAAAAGGCGGATTCTTCGCGGAGGCGATTTTTACATCCTACTGGGGTGAATCAATTTAAACCAACCGTCTTTCTCGAAAAAATTCTTCCGGCCTCGATCGATTTACTTTATTACTAAAAATGTCATACATTTACTGGTATACGTACTAAATTTTAATTTATCTTGTCAAAATATCCGTAAAAAAAGGTTTTCACCCGAGCACAGCCACGGTAGAAGGTGCTTATGAGCCACCTCTGACTATTCGAAGAGTACCAGTGGCGCTAGCGATCCAGAACAGTAGTCCTGCGACACTGATTCTTCCCTCAATATTCACTGAGCACGTGTTTTAACACGCGTTTTATCAGCGGATCGGATGAAAGAACAATACGTACCGGGGTTGGAATCCGACGAAAGTGTACCGAAATTAATTTTGAAATGTTGAAAAAATAAAACAACCTGAGCACTAGGAATTTCACTACGGATCCTGCTGATACGTTACATTGTAACGGGTTCAACGCGCGCGAAATTCGAAAAATAATATTTTAAAAAGAGGAGTAGGAGAAAGCCATATCTCTAGCGCCTATTATTTTTGCTCCGACAAAAATTCTTGTATTTTAAATAATTATACATGCACGTCCCAAAAAAAGTCAACGAAAACTAAGCATTACCTTTAAATTATAACGACCACCTTGACCTTCTCCTACACAAGTCGGTTTATGTTGTACACATGTTCGCGGTTCATTAAGTCAAGAACTGTTAAACCGTATATTTTAATGTACGATTTCGCGTGAACAATAAATTGTTTATCAGTATAAATCTATGTGGATAAGTATCGGTGGTCGTCAAAACCGCACACTTTTACCGTTCATAACCGCACATTTTAAATCGTTCAATACCGCACATTTTTATGCTATTGTTAAAAGAGAAGTTTAAAAGGTCGATAGTTCAAAACCGCAAACATTTGATTAACAGTATTTTCATCCTACGTACTTTGCGTGTACGGTTCACGTTGCCGTTTCGTATGAGTCACACTCAAAACCCTTTTTTTTATCCTGTGACCTACTTGAGGTGGTGTTGCATACCAAATCGGGGGATATTTTCATTTTTAACTGTCCTAGCGAGCGAGTGACCCCGCCCGGTATCGAGGTGCACTCATGTTATTTTAGATAAATATGTACGTAATTGATATAGATCAATGTGTGCAATTTAATTTGGCAGAAACAATCGGGATTAAGATATGTGTACGGTTTTGAACGACTTGTGAAGTAAACACATTATAAATCATAAATACGTGTGTGCGCGTGTAAGCGCATGTAACACATAATATTATTTATACATTTTACCAACAAAGTATTGCTAAATTTAATAAACATTACTAGATAATTCCTACGTCTCAAATTATTGTTGGCCTGTTTTTTTTCGGTACACTATTGTATGAACATTTTTAATATTTTGATGTATCCATATTTGCAGGTTATTTCGTGTCGTGCGCGAGCGGAAACATATCGGTGGCACTTTCCGTCGGGCCCACGATTGTTATACCGTTCCTGCTGTTCGGCGGTTACTTCCTGAATGTCGGGTAAGTTTGCGAATACGCTATCTGTCACGTTTTTGTTGTGCGTGTGTAATAGCGACTTGGAATTTTAAGAAAAAAAGAATTCTTTTGTCAAATATATTTTACTCGATGTGTATAACAACCACTAAAAATAGTATAACTTACCATATTATATCATAACCAAAAGCCGGTAATACCCGATTGAGCACTTT